GTCCAGGAAGTTACGGCAAAGCGCTACCTTCGAAAGCTGTGGGATGCGACTGCCTTACGCTTCTGAAGTGATGTGATGGATAATTCATACGGGGACCAAAAAGATCAAACCACGCGCGATCTACAAGACAATCTGGCAATCAGAAATATGCAACGTCGTGAATGTACTCAAAAATCAGACAGAACCTGAACACTGTAGCCGCAAGTCAACGACCACTTGCTGTCAGCGTAATCACAGCAATTGGTCAGCTGCAGTGATAAAATAGAATATTCTTTTATGGCCTAACCGGTAATGTTGCTTGTTTCGTCAAGCTCTAATATTGGTAGAGATTTGTCTTTGCTTTGCTAAATAAAATGCCACTTGAAACGCAGAACTATGGAAGACTGTTAAAAAGCCTTTTTTTATTTTATTTCATGCACAGAAAAACTAACACCACCTGTTACAGCCAAAGTTCAGTGATCTTGGCCTGAACGCGAGAAATAACTAGGCGGTGCAACTAAAGCAAATCTGACCGCTTGTTGCTTTTTACTGTATAGCTTCCAAACTTCCACGACTGACGCACAGTCAAAGGTTGGATCGAAATATCAAAACACGGTTTGTATTGAATTAGTGGTAGATTCGTAACAAATTCTGTGGTACCGTCAAAGCAACAATAAGTTATATCAAATTACAAAAACACCTCAACAGTGCATATAAGTAACTACACAGTCCGAACGTTCTCGGGCGCAGATACTTACTACACGGTAAAAACCGGTCAAATAAATGCAATTGTTAAGAACCTGAGAGTCAACAAGAATATTCTCGACAAAGGGATCAAAACTCGTCTACCAGAATCAAATCAACAAATAAACGTTTCCAGCAGACAGTCGAAAGACAAACAGCCGAGTCACAGCACAACCGTAAGTTGAACCAAAACAAATGTCGAGCGCAGTAAAACATCACTTTGTCAACAGCTCAGCGTCGTATAATGGGAAAGTGAAACATTCATGATAAGTCTTAATCATACAAGGGCAAATACTGAGTGCAAATTCAAAGACAGTCAAACAACCAAATAACATTACGTCGGCTAGGGTCAAAGGCACACTGTCCATAACGAGGGCGAAAATATTCAAATAAATGCCAACACTATGAAGTAGGGTGATCGGGAGGGATTTTCAGATCATTTTACCGTTACACCACCGTCTACTGATTCAGTGGAGATACATTGCCAGCAAACCCCAAATCGATGTGAGGGGCGAAAGAATTAGTCCTCTTCCAAGGCCAGGTCACCTCTCGACTATACGTACGCCCAGGCTACTCCAAGTAACCCTTAACCCTCCGGACATGGTTAGAACTACCTTGAAATCCTGGCGTAATGCATCTGATATATTCCCTAGAGAAATAAAGATTAGTGAGTGCAGATCCAGGGAACAAAGGCAGACCTAGAGGCTACTCAAGTGCTTACAGTCGATCAACCCATATCTAAATATAGAACGGTTGGACGATGGGCAAGACTTTTGTCGACCTTGTCCCAGATCGAAGAACCCCGCACCAGTTCTCAGTCAAGGAGATCAGCGGATATAGTAGCTCTTGGTCCCAACACCTTATCAAAAAACTTGTCAAAGCCGGCCGCTTAAAGGCTGGCAACTTACCCTTAACTCAACCGGTTTCTGTGACCTCCGGCCCTCATACTCTCATTCTCCGAACCCATAGCAATGTACCAGGCCTACGCTCCAAGGTACCCGAGTTAAGGTTATTAGTGAATGGGGATAACCCTAGCATAATGGCTTTCCGTGAAACATGGCTCTCAGAGAACATAAAAGACGAGGAAGGACGGCTCAGCCCAATTCGAAAGGATAGACCGGAGGGCCCAGGAGGTGGAGTTGCTCTTTACGCCTGTCCTTCCTTAAAAGTCCATGAGATTCAATCTCATAAAATTGGCATTAAATATGTCTCCTGGTGTAGTATTAAGTGCTATGGAGGTCAGTGTTTAGTTGGAGTCTTATACCACCCTCCTGCAGCTGATGCCACGTTAGGTAAAATGTTAATACAGTCCATCAAAGGAGCCCTCGAACTGAACTTTCCATGGGTCCTCATTATGAGAGATTTTAACTTACCTCGACTCTTTACCACAGTAGGTTCATCTACTGCTCTAAAAGACTTTCGAGAATTGCTACTGGAAAACTCCTTGACGGAACATGTCTCCCGGCGTACTCACTAAGGGTTTGACGGTAAGGCATCCCGATCAGATTATATTTTCACGAATCAGCTTATTGGGGTAAGCAAGTTGAGTGTTTTCAGCCCTCTTGGCCTGAATGACCATGCAGTTATTTTCTTCAATATTTCTATATCTAAGCCACCCGTTCCCGATCAGCCACTAGTCAGGAACTACAGGAGAACTGATTTTGAGGGTCTGGCAGGATCTAGAAGGTTCAGCTTGCTTAAATTGCGATGACCTACTGGATCATGATGCCAGATGGGATCCGTTGAAGAATATAATCCCCCAGACGATAAAAGACAACACTCTTCTGATACCAAGAAAAACCGACAAGTTCCACTCCTCCTGGCTTGAGTCAAGCACGTGCAAACTAAAACGGCATAAACTGCCACCTTGGAATCTATGCAGGTGCACTAATAACCCTTTTGACCGGCTAAATTATAAGGATATCCGTAACAAATGTACAACAAGGATCAAAAATGACAGAATAAATCACCAGGCACAACTTTGTAGAACCCCAGTGGGCAATCATGGGATACTGTACTGCTGATGAAACAGAAGAGTAACAGTTCACTTGGTTTACAGGACCCCATTAGTTTGGAGATTCTCTATTCCAACTCCGAAGTAGCAAACCTGCTAGCTCACGAATTCCAAAGCGACTTCTGTCATCTGGGAGGCAAAGTCACGCATCTGTCGGACACCAGTATTACAGAGGGACTAGACCATATAGAGTTTAAGCCCCCTGTAATTATGGAAATATTAAAAAAAGTGAACCCGAGTAAGTCTCCGAGAATCGATGGGATTCAGCCAAGAACACTCAAAGAGTGTGCTGAAGTTCTGTCCGCCCCACTAGCAAACCTCTTCAAGTGCTCGTTTCTGGAATGCAGGTTACCCCCTGATTAGAAACGGGTGGCCGTCGTCCCAATTTATAATGGTGGAAACCAACTACTCGCCTCCAACTACAGACCTATCTCTTTGATCTCTTCAGCTGCGAAGGTCATGGAGAGAGTCGTAAATGACTCGTTTCGTGATCACTTACTTCAGAAATCAATCCTCAACAACTGTCAGCATGGCTTTCTACCAGGAAGGTCATGTAATACCAACTTGTTGGTAGCTTGAAATAGCTGGACGCCCTCTGTCGAGCAGAAAAAACCTACTCACATTGGTTTACTTGACTTTTCCAAGGCCTTTGACAGGGCGAATCATGACATCCTTGTAAGAGTCTCCAGCTCATGGGTGTACACTGAAAACTATTTATTTGGCTTAGAGATTGTCTGTACATCAGGGTACAGTCAGAGTTGGCTCCTCCCTATCTAACTGGTCCCCTATGCTGAGTGGTGTGCCTCAAGGTTCTATACCGGCCCAACTACTGTTTCTTGCCTTTATCAATGACCTACCAGAGGTCTTAATTCACATTTACATCTGAAGATTTGGAGGGCAATACAGGAGCAAACGGGTATCTCTGTATTTCAGGAGGACCTTACGAAAATCCTTAATTAGACTACAGAAATCCTGCTTCCTCTCGACTCGAAAAAGTGTCGAGTTATGATGGTTGACAAACATAAAGGCAGTCCCAGTTCTTACTCTCTGGGTGAGGTAAATATCTGTCACATTAACATGGAACAAGATCTGGGAGTTACACTAAAGGATACACTAGGGGCCTCAGTCCATTGTCGCCTTGCAGCCAAAAGGGCTCATGGAATCCTGGGGTTTCTGTCACGAACCATAGGGTGTCTAACCCCTTCTATTTTCACCACAGTGCATGCCTCATCTGGAAAAAAGTTCGCTTGTGATGTTCTCATACTTGAGAAAGAACATAGCCATCCTAGAATGGGTGCAGAGAATAGCTACAAAGAAAGTGATTGGGTTACGGCACAAACGTACCCCGACCGCTTAGTTGCTCTTTAGCTGCACTTAGTACAATACCGGAGAATCAGAGGGGACATGGTAATGATGTACCTCATCGCCTATAATCCCCTCCATCCTAACAGATCCTTTCTAAGCTTTAACCGGAAATGCGACCTGAAGGGTCACCCGTTAAGAATAGAGCATGAGAGAGCACGTACAAACATCCGTGCTAACTCATTTGCGGTTAGAGTCTGTAGACTGTGGAATTCCCTCCCTTCGGCAGTTGTTACAACCCCATCCCATGATACTTTTAAAAAGGAGGTTAGACGCACACCTCGAGTCCTACGGTGCCGATGAGCTGTACTCGAGAAGCTTTCCTCAGATCAGATGCAGTAATACCACCTTGAGACCAGATTAATTAATAATCGTATCTCTATCCTTTCAGGTTTTTCAGAACCGGTAAGATAACTGTGGCCATTCCAAACTCAGAACGTATTCCAATAAGACAGACGTAGAACCCAAGAAACCGCCGTCCACTAATTCTACAACACGAAGTTTGGGGTTTGAATTGCAGACAGGATTGAGCAGAGTGGTAAACTGAGAAACAACTAATAAAATTGACGGAAACCTTCGGCCTTAAAACTGTCAAAAGGGAAAGTTGTGCTGACTTGAAGTAACTCTGACCTTAATTTGGTGATCTTTTAGGGAATATCATAGTTGCAAGTTGCTACAAATTCCTTATTATGATATTTCCATTTCCTGATGAATGAGGTTAAACAGAAGCGTTTTTGGTTTCTGAGTGTGTTTATGGTTAGGCATAAAATAGATGCTAGGGATTTTAACTAAAAGACCATACGTAAACTTTCATTCAGGCTTTACTAACATTGAGACTTGTCTGACATTAGAGCGCGGAAACACGTCCTATCTGCGAATGACCTTGCTGTAGCGGTTGGTAATGATGTCTAGCTCAGGTATGATTTCGATGAAGATGTATGCTTCATGGGAAGCCGAGAAGTCCTCTTCGAATGCTATTCCAAGGTCAGCCAGTGATTATGTTGGATTTTTTGGGAATCACCACTTCCCCATAGCATTTCTATGTGGTTTTTTCTGCCGAGTTAGTTAACTAGACATTTAGAACAATGCATTTATTCCTGATATTGTGATCGTTAACCGCTATATGCTGCTTGTAGTAGATATTTCCGGTCTAGCCTATACAACCAGAAAATGCCCAATATTAATTGCGTGTAATTTGGTAACAATTCGCTTGTTATCTATTTCATAACTATTCAGAAATAAGTAGTTCTAGGCCTTGGATGTCTCGCGTAAGAATTTTTATAAGGACTTCGTTAAATTCCAAGATTCACAGGTTATAGCGTGCCAAGTGAACAAAACAGAAGGTCTAATGTAATGCATTCGAAGTCCGTATTGACCCAGAATTACGTAATCCTAATAAACAGCTTCCATCTGATGTTGTAGTTCTAGTTACGCAACAAGATGACCACCAACTTCTATGTTATTCATGAGTGTGAATGTTGTGGATGAACTCCCTGGATTTCTTGCGTATTTGTGAGGCATTTAGTATATATTAAATAATTTTATTGATATCCTACTACGCCTTAAGTTTTATTTCACAAAGCAAATTTATGAACTAAGAGAAATGATGGATTGATCACTTGAGACTTAAGCGATATCATCAGTCATACTGCAAACTAGTGCAATTTACAGAGATTGTTTCAACTGCTGTCAAAAGTTTCTGCACAAAAGTACCTTCGTTAACGAACTCACTTTCTATAACTTAAACGGTATTACTCCACAGTTCGTTTATGAATAGAAACGTGTAAGGTGCGCTGTAGTGGTACGCTTATCCAGATCACCGATATCAAATGTACGGTAAACCGAAGAAAGACGTACAATAAATATATTTTAACTCGCTATAACACATATCGAGCGTATTAAAGGTCTCTGTTGTAATGGTAGCTTATATTTATTAGTTAGTTAGACCTGTTGTACAGTCGCTCTCCTGCTTCTTATCAATTATCTGCATTTTGAACCTCTAATCTTTTCATGCACCTACTACCTGTGATAAGTACTTACTTTTGCACCAAAATATCATTATTTCTGGTTCCCGCTACACCGTAACATTGCCTGGTGGTTCATTTTGACTGTATATCCATAGGAAATATCAGAAGTTCAGATGCAAAGCTGTAGCTTATTTCGCGAATTTAAAATTTTTAGACAAGAGAGACGAACCACCGACGCGTTTGATGCATTCCTGGAAATTAAATGTGATATATTAAATGACTGTTGATCTTTCTCTTCTGCACTAATGAGAATTTCCAATTGACTTTTTCATGTGTTAAAATACTGTTTGTTATACTGCCGTTAACGAAAGTAAACGTTTTTGTTGCTAGACTTTGCAGTCTCAGTTTGGTACAAATAATATTGGACAGGCCCATTGAACCTGAGTGTGCAAACACAGGATTTTATGTGGTTGTTCGTATGCGCGATACAGCTCGTCGAGTTTTAAGATCACCGGAAATCACCCTTATCTGCCCACGTACTTCACAATCGCAAAATGGATTGTTTAATGTTCATTGTAACAGTTTGGTCAGTAATCCAAATGAAGTCAATTACAATGAATCTTCTGGTCAGGCAGGTCAGATTTCATCTAACACAACTGGATCCACACCTGGTAGTGGTGGTTCAGTGCTTATCGACTTCACGTGTAATATTCAGTACTCTCATCTTCTCACACGAGATTCCAATACACTGCAGATTTTGCTCCAGCGCCGTAAAAAGTACAAAAGTAAGGCTGTGAACTTGGGTTACAAGACACTCGCTTACTGCAATGTTAACCTCGCCCAAGTGAGTTTACAACTTTTTGTTAACTGCTTTCGTACGTTTGTTTGGCTCAATCATATAAGTACTAGCAGTACCACATAGCGTGAAATTTTCATCCAAAAAATGCTACTTTGTATTAAATTATTTCTTTCGTTTAGAGTATGATCTTATTTCGTATATCACAGTACTGTTAAATGCGGTATATACTTTATAGACAACAAAACTGACATTCAGCTTTTGCCGGAAATACTGTAATTAGGTAGTAAGTGTCTATCGCTTTATGCTTTGTTGGATCCGAGCAAGTGTGAGCAATTGCATAGCTTTACTCTTGGAAGTGAATAAAGGATATCAGATATAAAACAATTTGCATTCACTACAAACATGGAAAAGGGAGTATATGTTCTTAACTGATTGTAAAATAGCTATCTTACTACATGGTCACCGAATCAGGAATTGTATACCCTAAAATGTATTCTGTATTCATATAGGAAGTAACATACAGTATACAACTACATCTCATTCTTACTTTTCTATACCCTCTACTTTTTTCTGATACATTTAATGTTAATGCTTTTATGAATAAAGAGCTGGTTGGCAAATGAAAGTTATCCAAATAATTCAATGGAGAAGTTGTTCAACCAAAGTTTCCAGTTCATACTAATCAACGATTCGATAACTTTGTACTTCCACTTCTGAAGTTGCACTTAGAATAAGTAATGTCTGTTAACTGACTTTCACCTTGCTATCATCGAGTTGTGCGTGGGAATTTCGAGGATGGAAAGCTGTGATAAGCACCAGTTTCTGCTCATAAGGTATTTTTTAAATTTGAAGCACTAGAAAATAACTTTCGTCAATAAATAACTGTCAATCAAAGTACATACTGTTCGAGTACAAACCATCAATGAACCTACACTACCACTGTTTATTATTATTATTAGTCCTTTGGGTTCCTAATGGAACATAGGGCTTCAGTAGCACGTCTCCATTCCACTCTCTTCTCTGCAATCTTTTGAACCTGGCTCCAAGACACCCCACAAGCTCTCATTTCCTCTTCGCACAATCTCCTCCATGTCACCCTCGGACGTTCAACTCGTCGTTTCCCATCTGGGTTTCACTCGAGGGCCTGGCCTGACGCGTGATGTCCCCAGTCGGCCTTCTCAGTGTTTGCCCAATCCATCTCCACTTTCTTCTGCATATTTGTTGGGTGATAGGTTCTTGATTGGTTCGTTACCAGAGCTCCTTGTTGCTTGTTCTTTCTGGCCATCTGATCTTCAGTAGCGAGCCAGTGTATGGGCAGTTGTTGATGAATGTCTGTAGTTTGTTGGAAATCCCTTTCGTAACGCACCAAGTCTCTGAACCATACAAGAGCACTGACTTGACTGGGTTGGTGTTGAAAATCTGAATCTTGTTCCACATGCTGAGTGTAGAAGATCTCCACACTGGTTTCAGGCTAATGAACGCCTATCTCGCTTCTCCGACTCTGACTTTGACATCCTCGCATGTGCCGCCTGTAGTTGAAACAGCGCTGCCTAGATAGGTGAAGGAGGCTACTTCCTTTACGTTTCTCCTGTTGATGGTGATTGGAGTTTGTTGTTGTTGTTTGAGTTGTTGGTGCGGTATCTTCATCAATTCTGTCTTCTCTATAATCACTTGAAGTCCCGTCTTCGCTGCCCTACCTCTTCTGCCAACTTGTTAGTTTTCGCCTGTAGATCTTCAAGTTTGTGTGACATTAGACACAAGTCATCAGTGGCGAAATCCAGATCTTCTAGGTTCTTTTCCACAGTCCAGTGTATCTCCCTCTTCTCGCTGCCTACTGTTTGCTGCATGATCCAGTCGACCACAATCAGGAATATCATGGGGGATAGTAGGCAACCTTGTTTCACTCCTGTCTTCACTTCAAAAGCATCACTGAGCTTCCCATTGTGAATTACTTGGCATGTGACGTCTTCATATAGTTGTTGAATGAGGCTGATAAATGTTTGCGGTATTCCGTAGTATTGAAGCAGTTTCCAAATTACCTCTCTGTCGACGCTGTCAAAAGCCTTCTCAAAGTCGATGAAGTTGAGGTGGAGGGGTTGACTGCCATTCGATGCTCTGTTCTATGATGATGCGAAGCGTAGCAATTTGTTCCGCACATGATTTGTACTCGCTGAATCCAGCCAGCCTGTTCGGGTGGTAGTTTTGAATCCAGCGCATCCTTTAGTCTCTCCAGGATGATGCGGCTTAATATTTTACTTGGGGTGGACAGGAGAGTGATTCCGCGCCAGTTCTTGCAAACACTGAGGTCTCCCTTCTTCGGGAGTTTGACAAGGTAACCCTTTTTCCAGTCGCCAGGTACCTTCTCTTCCTTCCACACCTTCTGAAATAGTGGTGTGAGCATGTCCGCTGTTGTCTCTGCATCTGTTTTCAGTGCTTCTGGCTGGATTCCATCTGGTCCTGCTGCTTCCCCGCATTTCAGTAGCTTTATGGGGTTCAGGACTTCCACTTTTGTTGGAGGATTTATGTTCAGTTGTAGTTCAGCGGCTGTAAGTGGTATTTGTGGACGAAGTGCAGGTGGTGGTGGTGGTCGATTCAAGAGCTTCTTGAAGTGGTTGGCCCATTGTTTCCTTTCTTTCTCTTCTTTCATAATTAAATTTCCTTCTTCATCTTTTATTGGTTTCGTCCGTGTTGATCTCTTCCCAGATAGCAACCTGGTTATTTGATACAATGTTGTCAGGTGCCTGTCTCTTTTACCTGCAGCCTGTTCTGTTTCACTTGCCAATGTGTCGTAGAAGTGTCTTTTGTCTTTCCGTGCACTCTTCTTCACTTCTTTTTCCAGTGTATTGTTTTATACATTGTGTTCAGTTCCTCTTGTCGTTGAGCATCCTTGCACTGGTTTATCTTCTGCTTCACCATCCTCCTCTCCTCTGTCAGCTTCCATGTATCTGTCGAGATCCATTCCTTATCTTCTTTCTTCTTCCTTCCTAATACTGTTGTGCAGGTTTCTTTCCACATCTCTTTCAAAGACTTCCAGTGTCCTTCCACACAGGTTTCTTCAGGGATGTTCCTCGATATCTCCCACTTTGTCTTGATGGCTGACGGACGTGAGGATTTACTTTGTAGTTTCATCCTTCAGTTTCCGAGTGTTGTACTTGAACTGCGGTCTATCGCCAACTTCCTTGAAGGCTTTCAATTTGATTTGTAATGTTCCTTGCACTAGACAGTGAGTGGTGTGAACCTACATCTGTTCCTCTTTTTGACCTTGTGTCAAGTAGACTGCGTCTCCATTTTCTTGGCGTCTGGTGAAATCCATATCGCTTTGTGGATATCTTTGTGCTTGAACACACTGCCTGGCCTCCAATCACCAAATCGTTGAATGCACAGAATTCTGCAAACAATTCACCATTCTCGTTCATCACCTCACCGAGCGCTTCTCGACCCATGGTTCTCTTCCTGTGTTGTCTGCTCCCAGTTTGGCATTCATGTCGCCCATCAGAATTTTGATATCGCCAACTGGAGTGGGGTCTTGCCCAGTGTTGATTGTAGTTGTCTGTAGAATTCCTCCTTTTTCTCTTGCTATGCATTATTTGTAGGTGCATAATGTAGCATTGTATGATTGTGACCTTCCTTCCTTTTGAGTTGAACCTTGTTGTCATCATCCTGATCGTTGAGGAGATTGGTTCCCACTGCATGAGAGAGCCTTCGATGCTGTTGGGAACATCATGATAGCCACCCCATACTCAGTATGCTCATGGTTGTCGTGTCGTCTGGGTGACAATATTGGAGTAGATTATTGATTCTCCAGTTGACAGTTTGGAGAGTTCACTTCCATTCCATCTGCTTTCGCATATTCCAAGCACTTCGATGTGACACCTCTTCATCTCTTTTGCGCTCTGGGCAGCCTTGTCAGCCAGCTTCAAACATTGTGCGGACATTCCATGTCTTCATTCTTACTTTCGCTTTCATCGAGGGAGAGAAGACACATCGGCCAACTGGCTTCCTGAAGGCTTTCACCAACTGGCGTCATTTCGCCTCTCCGATTCCAGCGAGGAATAATGTTGTTTTTATTTTTTATATTTTGTTTGTGCTTTGAAGTTTCTTTAGCGGTTAGATTTGTTTTCCGGGGTAGGGTTGCTAGCCGTATGTCTAACCTTCCCTCTTTACCCGGGCTTAGGACCGGCTAGTAACTAGTGAACCAGTTAACCAGGCGAGGTTACGCTACCACTGTTACTAAGATATAAAGCTGTAGATTGTTCGTATCCCCGAGGTGAAATTTTCTATGAAGGTGGTGAATATAGTTGAAAACCAAAGGGTTATGATTGCCAACACAAACTTATCCCATCTGTAAAGAGACCGGAAAACATGGGACCTCTGAAGACATACATTAGTTCAAGTTATTTCACTGCAACAACACAAAAAGAGGAATTCAATGGAAATACAAAATTTTTTAAAATAGCCAAGCCACAGAAACATCCCATAGGTTTTATGTCGGAAAAAGTATCAAAGTCTTGTAGGTTCTTCGTATGCATCGTTACTTAAAGACTAACCATACTTTTTAGTCACTTACCAACCAAGTCGTAAGACGGAACAGACCGTTGGGGAAGAGAATAAACATACGCTTAATATGATCTTGTGAAAAGCATTTATACTCCGGTAGTAAGAATAAATATGGACTATATTTCATTGTTTTTACATTGTATTTCATTGGGGTATAATGTATTGTTATAATTGCTGGTCCTCTTATCCGTAGACATTTTTTTTTGTGATTCGTACTTATCACTGTACTTCACTATGTAGTTGTAATAGCATTCATTCAATCATAATATCCACTAACCAATAAGTTATATATTTTCGTATGAGAATTACACTTTATACGTGTATGTGCGAGTCTAAGATAAGGCGTATGCACCATTGTTGTATTGCTTGTGCCTAAGTTATCATTTTTATTCCTCCTCTGTAGATAACTGTGTTGTTCTTAAGTCTTACTAAATTTATGTGTTGATGTACTTCTTTTATCTCTATGAACATTTCCCCCTTACTTTTTA